TACCAAGTACCCGCCGCATTCTAAAGGTAACAGGAAGTAAAGACGACCAGAGAGGAGCATTTGCGCAGCGAATGATACAACTAATCGTCCCGTCTGCGCGCGTCACACACGACGTGACCTTTAACTCTCTGCACGTAGTTGGTCTCATCTCGATCCGGGATTCCGATATCACACAAGTGATGCTGTAGCAAACGGCCAAATTAAGGAGTCATTGTGGTCCGACTCCTGTACCTGATAAAGACAGAAGTATCCCGTCAGTCAACAACTTTCCAGACCACGACCGTTAGTGCGCCGTGATAGTTTGGAAGCGAACTTGGCTGCTTATGGTGAGGAATGCGCCATGCGGGTGGGTCCCCCAGTACCGGCCTCCCTCTCTCCACTCTCATCTGTGCACCAACCAGCTGCCCGAGCCTATTATCAAACTGACGGGACTGGACTCAACAGTTGGGGTGACGCAAAAGCCTCCGTCCGAGGTGTGTCATGCACATGTACGACAGCAGTCAGGGTCTCACGCGGACTCAGTGCCACGGTCCAGTCAGGCCCCGTTGTGACCCTGCAAACTTGCAGCACAGTCCCTTTTGGACGCACAAATTCTGACATACACAGATAGCGTTTTCTTGGTAGCGAGCACCATCCATGGACGTTTTCACATCCAACCCCCCGGCGTTTTCTAGTAGACTGGAGCCTATCTCTGCCATCTTTGCTCCCCGCAGGGTTGTTTAGGGCACAGCGCGAGGATATACTTTGTATTTTGGTGAGGTTTGTTTACATAAATCTGCCTTGCTCACCGGTGGAGGCGCATGTGTGTTAGCAACCCTGCGTCGTCACGCACTGCTCCACCCACTGACAGGCTGGCATCCTCCAGTCGTCTCGCTCACCATCACTGCCAAATGCGGCGGCCAAGACGCATTCTTCTTGTCATACGGAGGACCAAGAGGTCTTGGAGGTGGGCTTCACACCCTAAGCGTCTTTCCCCCAGCAAATTCATTGGAATCACTGGATTTTGCTTCCGAAAGTACCGAGGACTACAGTCATGCAGTTGGGACTGCGTCAAGCGTCTGGTGTAATTCGTAATCTATCTAGTAATCAGAAGGGGATTTTTGGTTTGAGGGTTCGCGGGAGACGTATATTGCCAGATGGGCTTGAATCGCTGATGTCCCGATTTTGTCCCGGACTGAAAGGCAGACTACCTCGGTTCAGTACTTGCTTATTTTTGGTAAAACATGTGAAGTCCAGGTTGCTGCATAACTGGTTAGTATCCCGCTTTCGATAATGTTAGTTGGTCCCTTGGAAGTAGAATCACTAGACTTAGTAATAACCCTACCCGTCTCCTATGTTTGCAAAACGAGATTGACTCTTTCATTGATACTTAAAGGACCACCTTCTTACCACCGTTATTTGGCAAGATTAGAGATTTTTCCAATCCATTTAAACTGCAGATCCGCAGGGATTTTGGAAATGCTACCCCACCAGTCGATTTGATCCTCGTTGACTTGGAGAATAGACGGCAGCGTAGAATGGATACGAATAGGTGTATTACGCCTTACAGTGTAACCTGTTCTGAACAAGTCAAGGATACATGATGATCGAACCAATGGACTAGACACTGACAAATGACCTGCCGGGAAATGAGAATGAGATTTTTTTGAAAATTCACACAACCTATGGACGAAACGCGTGCGGGTAGTGTCTACGGTCGATTGAACCTTATCACGCATCGCTGGTCGAGTCTTTTTTTTCGGCCTGAACATACATTTAGAATGCGGCTGAAATGGCGTACCTCGCATGCACAGAAGGGCACCTTTTATTGGATGTACTGCAGACCACACCATGTCTTAGAAAGAGTTGAAGATAAGGACTTATCTGCTTATGTCTCTGATGATGGATTCGAGCAGGAATCCGAAACGTCAGGCTAATAAAGCTCTTGTCCCGGCGATCGTGTCTTCTTCTTCAAGATAAGGACTGTCATTTTTTCGGCATATGTGACAGTTATCATTGCACTCTCCCATAGTAAGAGAGTTAAGCTCCGAGAAATGAGGCAAAATAATTAAAAATTAAGGTAAGACGTAGGAGTAGTAACTCCTCGTATTACAGGTAGTCTTAGGCTAAATCTCAGGGAGATAAGGGTTATAGTTAGAGGCTAGATTAAGGCTAGGGTTCGAGTTAAGCTTGGGGCCAGGGTTTAGGTTAGGGTTAAGACACGAAAATAGGTTCGCTTCCTGGAATTTAGCGCGTGGCCACCTGTATTACGGGGTTCCTATCCACGTGTCATCCCAACATTAAATTGCAAGCAATGAAAATCAGACTGCTTCGGCTCAGTAGCTTTTTGATTTTGGCTCGCCGCAGAACTGTTTAATAAACAACTAATTTATTTCGTTTTCGATCATATTAGTTGGTCCCTTGGAGAAGAATTACTAAAACCCGCCCGTCACAAATGCTTGCAAAACGAGATCGACTCTTCCCTTGATACTTAAAGTACCACCTTCCCACCAGTGTTGTTTGGTGAAATTAAAGATACTTTCAATCCATGTAGGGTCCAAATCCACAGGTAACTTCGGAAATGTTAGCCCAGCAGTCGATTTGGTCCTTGTTGTCGGGTTGAAAAACAGGACCTGTCGACTTGGAGAATAAACGGCAGCGTCGAATGTGTACGAATCGGCGTATTACCCTTCACAGTGTAACTTCATCTGAGCAAGTCGCAGGTGCATGATGATCGTGACAACAAACGAATTACTAACAAATGAGGTTTTGTAAAAATCCATACGAGCCTCATCTTTGCGCTTCGGGAAGGTTTGCTGTAAGGTCAACTTCTGATTCCATCAGAGTATGAGCAACTTTAGTAACAACTTTCGCTGGCATTCAAATCCCGCTGGCGCCTCAAATCTCCCTCGAACGAGGTATAGGTTACGGATCCCCGTATTACAGGTGGCCTTACCATGATTTCCAGAGGGGTTGAAGTTAGAGTTAGGGTTAAAATTAGGACGGGGGGGGGGAATAGGAACTCATCTGAAATTTAGCGCGGGGCCACCTGTAGCACTGAGGGGTGGGGTCCTCATCGTAGTGTATGACAGCAAATGTGGCGGCTAATCGCACCCCCCCTTCCTCCCACAAATATTCCTTCATACATTAAATGCACCGATGTGGATTAACTGTGGATTTTGAATTTGCTTTAGCAGTGCGTCTTAAAAAGAAAATAACAGATCTGCACATTCCAAAATTTTCCAGGCCGGAAACGCGCCTGTTTTTTAAGATATTGTTGAACTAGCTTCTGGACCACACCCTACTGACCTGGGCAGAAGCATTTATCTTCAGGGGGCATTGAAATAGCCTGTGTCCACTGGCATCCATTTCCCCTGTGGACGTAGTGTCGGGCAACGTTTAATTTTTTCATTTTGAAGAGTTCCAATTGGCGCCCACTGAAATTCGAAAAAATATCTGCTTCAACACGGGGATGGCAGCGATGCGATGTAGGACCCCCATCTAACCTGACCTAGTCTGGGGACCATGCCATGCGTTAAATGGTGGCAGAGGGGCTTTTACGGGTGGGCAGCATATAAGACGGAGTGCAAGAAGACACAGAAAATAGATAAATTTCTCCATATTCCGTGCTGAGGCATAAGCTGGCCAAAATAATTGACCACTCGGGGAGCGCGCAAGCTGGTGAGCCAGATGACCGAACAATCATCACGCCAGTACCCAATACTGATGATGAAATTTCAGCAATTAACTACTTGCATACCGGCCATCAAGCCATTAGCGCACCAGCGGGCAGCAATTCTTGATGAAGGGGAGCGCGGTTAATTACTGTAGGTATGCGGTAGCACAGCGACTGGATCCTATAAATACTGCAACTTCTTGTGCACGAGTCACCCTTTTCTGCCACTGATGATGGGTTCAAGTGAGAATCCGAAACGTCAGGGGAATAAAGCCAGGGCTCCAGCGATCGCTTCTTCTTCTGATAAATATCTGCCGAAAGTCTTATTGTACGCCGTCATTTGGCTGAGAAAGTGAGCGCAATAATTAAAAAAAAATAAATACAAGATGATTTTTAAAAAATAAGGGCCTTGAATAAAGCGCCGCTGGTGAGTTAACATTTAGTAAGGAAGAGAAAGAGGTCCTCAAGAATTTGAAAATGTGTTCCTCCTCTTCAACTACCTCTTTGCTAGACACGGGATATCAGCGTACATGGAGAGATTTCTTTAACATTCAAGGGGAATGGCCGTCTGATGCAGTCGGTTGTCAAAAACGAGCTTAAAAGTCAGCTCAAAGAAAAGATAAAGATCCCTATAGACCAAACTAACTCGGTTGATTTTTATAGACCTTTGGATACCGATCTTAGCTGCCGTTAAGGTTCATATTTTAACATAGATCTTTATCAGAAACATATATTTGGTTCTTCGCAGCCCTGGTGAATGGTTTTTATACTCAGTCTACACTCATTTTCTGCAGCTATACCGTGGATGACCGGGTTGTGTAGCGCACTGCAAGTTATAGCTCGAGCTGAGGCGCATTTATTATAGAAGCTGACAGGAAGTGACCGTCTCTGTCGTGCCCAGCCACGTTTTGGATTCTCACTCTTCCCAGTTTTTCATGTCGGCCTTTTACCTCCCCCCCCCCTACCGCCTTTAGTGCAACTTCAGTGATCCCCATGCCTGTGCGTACATGCCTCAGCTTGTTCTCCTGTTCCCGGCTAAGGGCTACCAACTGGTGGCACACCACACGCAGTGTAGTTGGCGCAGGTTAGGGTTTTAAGTTAGAGTCGAAACTGAGACACATCTGATCCCAAACTCTGACTACGACCAAGTCCTAGCAAGTGCATTCAGAAGGCTTTCCCCCTGAACGCCAACGTTCATACGGTCGGCTGGCATGGATTATTTCGCAGTCGAGGCAAGAGAGGACTTGCGGAGATATCCAACGGAGCCTGATGGCAATGGATGACTCATGCGGGACAGGTTGAGCAGCGGGTCCGCGACCGCGCAGCAATCGCATTCGTGCATGCGTTACTGTCCCCAATTCATTCGAATTGCAGGGTTGCAAGACCAGCCACGTACATCGTCATCGTCGTCGTCGTCGCCGTCGTCATCATCACCACCAGCACCACCACCACCGCCGCCGCCGCCACCACCACCACCACCATCATCATCATCATCCTCATCAGCAGCAGCAGCGTCATCATCATCATCATCATCATCATCATCATCATCATCATCAACAACAACAACAACAACAACATTATCCCTCCACACCACTTTTCAAGCGCCTGCTAAGGCACACCAGCTCCAGCTAGTCTCCCCTCTTCCATGTTTAACTCTCCGTGGCGGTCATATATTCACACCCCCGTTTGCCCGTCGCTGCAAATTTGCCAATTTTACCAGAACTTGGCGTTTTATCCTAGTTAGTGCACGCGTGTGCGTATGACTGCGAGAATGTGCCAATCGGGGTTTCGAGGACCTACTTGCTGCCTATCTCCCTCCCCCGTCGCCGAGGCTGTGCCTGTCTGCCCATCCATATATCACACAGAGCTATTTGTGAAGGACGTTGAGAGGGAGTTAGGGAGGAAAGGCTTTAGAGGTCCGACGACGCGTGCTCGCGCACTTACAGTGCGCGATCTTTTCTTATCCACCCCTCCCGTTTCTTCACCCTTGTCCTGTCTGTCTTCTGGCGGAGTTCGGATTTTAAATGCATCCCAGCTAACTCACCAGTGTTGATACACAGAGGTCATCGTCTAGATGCGGTTTGCAGTGGGGAGGCCGTGCTGAGAATCGCGCTTTTTCCTCTCGCGGTGCGGGGACTGGCTGCGTGGGCGTATTCACCACGTTCAGTATGGATCCCCATGTCATGCTCTAATGCATCCCCGCGCCTGAAAAACCTGGCTAATACATCGTTTTACGAACTGGCATTGTTGACCAATAAACAAGAATTCCCAAGGACAGCAAGGCTCTCCAGAGGAAGTCGGTTCTGGCCTAGCGTCCGCCCTAGCACGATTATCCAGTTTCATGCCACTGTATTTCGTCATTTCTGATTGGACTGCCCGATCGAGCTCAATGACCAATCAGTTTCTGCGGTTTGATCTGAGCAAACTCGCGACCACTTACTTGATTTACTTATCTTCGTCCGCACAATTTTCGCGCGGTATTCAACGCCAATCAAACTGCGTACAGGAGCAGGCATGCGAATTCCAGGGAACTCGTGTTTCAAAGAGGTTGAAGAAAGATTTCCGCTTAGCGGGACAGATATTTTTCTTTCATCTGAAATTTCGAGCTCCTACGAGAGATCGAAAAAACTGTTTGTGTTCCCTGTCCTGGCGTGCGAACGACAATTGACGCTGTGTTGTTATCGCCTAAAGTTTTTTTAATGATCTGGTCAACCAGACAATAAATCTGTTTGCATGGCCTAGACTGGGCGTATGCTTGCTGCAGTCAACATGGCTTCTAATACACTGGGCTAGTTCCTCATGATCGTTTCTAGCGTTGGGTTCACATTTCTGATGCCATGGGTATTTTGGGCAGTAGGGTATTTTCCTCAGGGTTGGCCTTTGGCTAATTCTATCGAAAATACACTGCCCGCTCAGTTTCCGCAATATTTTCAAAAAAGGTCGGTTAGGTAGACCATCAGTTCCTATGGTTTGCATGGTCTCTTATCAAATCAGTGTCTTCCATGAGGAAAATGAAAATCCTCCAACATTCTGTCGTGTAACCTGTAGTGGTGTGGTTGCGCGTCTGTCTTACAATTGTGTTTTTCATGCATTCTAACGTTGTAGGTCCTGCGGAGGTCTCACGACGTTCACGTCGAAGTGTTGATGCTGTCGAGGCACCTCCCGTCACACCACCCACCGACGAGAACAACACCGTGACACGAGCATACTTTAAACGTTCCTGCCAGCGCCAGGTTCTCATTCGGTGCCCCTCCTTTTCCACCTCCCCCTCGCCCACGGGACCTGAAAACAAAGGTAGTAGTGGCGTGGAGAAGGTCCAAAAATTCGGCGACTGCGCCACAGTCGCAGCTTCTGACATTGAGGTGACCTGCGCCAGGGTAGTCTGCCATCTCAACAAGATGGCGCCTTCGGACACAGTGCGACTCCATGTGTCAGGTTGGCTGTTGGCATCGACCTTCTTCAAGCATCACCTACCGGATGTGAAATTTGTCACCAAGCTGAGCCTAGTTAACTGGGGTGACCTTCCGCCTTCTGTGAGCGCCTACGCGAACCTTTCCGACTCTGCGGAGGGGAAGGTGGGCCCTGGTGGTTCCGCCGCGGTTCTCCTCGATTTCCCTTCGCCGGCGCCAACCTATGAAATGGCCCAATCGGTGGTCTTTCGCAATGTCTCCCCACGGCGCCTCGCCCGGATGCCATTATGGCCCATCCTTACGGGTATCGTGGTTGGCAGCATAATCCTCGT